TTTGCAATTCTGTATACTTTAAGGTCAATGTGAGGTTCAATTGAGAGATAAATTAGCCATATGTTTATCACGATCAAATTATATATGTGTATATATTTATCTATAAATATGATCCCAATTTTGGTTACGGCTTATCTTGCATATATTCTTTCTTAGCTGATTTACAATGGTTGTTTTATCTTGTCTAAGTGAATAGTAATAGAAATAGTCTTATTTTCACCATGTGTTTAAAGATAAATATGTATTTCCCTTGAGAGAAACACTTTTATGATTCGAAGGTCATTTTTGAAAAGATTTATAATTCTGTATTTCTTTCACTTTTTCCTTTAGAAAAATTAATTGTTGTAAAAACACATAATATGAAATTTACCATCTTAAATTTATTTAAGTGTATATTTCAGGGTCAGACATAGTGGTGGCTCACATCTGTAATCCTAGGATTTTGGGAGTTTAAGACACAAGGATTGGCCAGGCGCGGTGGCTCACACCTGTAATGCCAGCACTTTGGGAGGCCGAGGTGGGTGGATCACCTGAGATCAGGAGTTCAAGACTAGCCTGACCAACATAGTGAAACCCCATCTCTACTAAAAATACAAAAAATTAGCTGGGTGTGGTGGCGGGCGCCTGTAATCCCAGCTACTAAGGAGGCTGAGGCAGAAGAAATCACTTGAACCCAGGAGGCGGAGGTTGGTTATGGTGAGCTGAGATTGTGCCATTGCACGCCATCCTGGGCAACAAGAGCGAGACTCCATTCCCCCCAAAAAAAGACAGGAGGATCACTTGAGCCCAAAAGTTTGACACCAGCCTGGGAAACATATCGTGGTTCCCTCTCTACAAAATTTTTTTTAAATAGCCAGGCATGGTGATGTGCACCTTGTGATCCCAACCACTTGGGAGATTGAGTGGGGAGGATTATTTGAGTCTGAGAGTTTGAGGCTGAAGTGGACCATAATTGTTCTACTACACTCCAGGTTGGGTGACAGAGTGAGACTCTATCTCAAAAAGAATCTGTACATTTCAGTTATGTTAAGTATATTCACATTAGGCCAGGCGCGGTGGCTCATGCCTGTAATCCCAGCACTTTGGGAGGCCGAGGCAGGCAGATCATGAAGTCAAGAGATCGAGACCATCCTGGCCAACATGGTGAAACCCCGTCTCTACTAAAAATACAAAAGTTAGCTGGGTGTGGTAGTGCGCGCCTGTAGTCTCAGCAACTCTGGAGGCTGAGGCAGGAGAATTGCTTGAACCGGGGTGATGGAGGTGAGCCGAGATCGTGCCACTGCACTCCAACCTGGAGCCTGGAGCCTGGCGACAGAGCAAGACTCTGTCTTTAAAAAAAAAAAAAAAAAAATGCTTGAACCGGGGTGATGGAGGTGAGCCGAGATCGTGCCACTGCACTCCAACCTGGAGCCTGGAGCCTGGCGACAGAGCAAGACTCTGTCTTTAAAAAAAAAAAAAAAAAAAAGTATATTCACATTATTATGCAAAAGACTTCTAAAAATTTTCTATTTTGTGAAACTAAAAGTTGATACCTGTCAATACCCATTAAGTTACAAAAACCGGCTGGGCGCAGTGGCTCAAGCCTGTAATCCCAGCACTTTGGGAGGCCGAGGCGGGTGGATCATGAGGTCAAGAGATCGAGACCATCCTGGTCAACATGGTGAAACCCCGTCTCTACTA